GCAATGCAATGCGTAAAAAGACAGTATAAGTCATTATAATCCATAATTATGTCCCCACTGGATGCAACGAATGCCTCGTTTATAATGGGTTTTCATGTTTTTGAATCATCGCTCCGGCCTGACGGCATCATCACAGTATGTAAGGGGCGTAACATTTCCGTCACACGCTTGAGGTATTCAGCCAATCACAACGCACTGGATAGCTGACCAATCACAGCACACCTTGCTTTTCAGACCGATGAGCTTTGTAAAAATCGACGCGTTTCAGAAAGGCGGGGCATAGAGGAGAAACAATAATGTACAGTATGTGGAAAATAATGTGTTTTTTGAACCTTAAACCGCATAAACACATTTCCTTACACCAAATACACAAAATAATGTTCTTTTTAGCAACATCATATGACCCCTTTAATTTTATCCGTTGAGAATTGAAATATGTTAGGCTGTAATAATATTGATTGATATAAATTTTTCTGTCCACTTGGCCTTGTGTATATTAACAGAAAATTTATTTTAAAAGGTTTTACATTTAGAAGAAGGCTTATTTTATCAATGAAATGTTTTTTAATAAATGAACAGTTACACTAAAATTGAATATTGGACTTCCCTTTAAGTGAATCAATCATTCATTTTGTAATTACATTCTTTTTCATCCAGAACGCAACCTGAACCCAAAAGCGGCATGTCTGAAGCGACGTGAAGAGGAGAAAGTGTCCGGGGTGGCTGGAGACACTCAAATGCAGCTGTCCGGACCGCATCCAGGACTGGGAGGAGATGGACGCATGTGATCATGTGGTATGTTAATGTCCATTTAAACATTGCCTCACTTTGTGTAACACAAGTTATGCAAGCACTTTTTGGTCACTAGTTAGATTTTACAGTTACAGATGTTATTACAGTTAATAGTATACAATGGTTAGACACCAAAAATTAGAGATGCATGTTATCGCTACCGTATCGATTGTCAGCTGTTAGTAGAATTTATCCATATCGCTCAATATTGTGTATTGAATTATTCATGCTTATTACCTTTGCCATTGTCTTTAAAAACTCTTTATTTTAATGGCACTGTTAAAAGTGGAGTCTTAAGCAAATCTCAAAAACAAAATCGATTTTTCATGCATTGTGTTGTAATGTCTACATTCACAGCTTTTAAAACTTTCAGATTAGTTTTATGTAATTTATTTTGACAAAACAGTACAGAATTGTAATATCTGCCATTTATTAACAGTTAAATAATTTTACACTTACTGGTCTAAAAATCAGTGTTATTTTAGTACTATTTATGTAATATTAATAATATTTTAAATTAGCTTTTTTTTCTTTGTATTTTCTGTTCTATTTTTAGCTTTATTTTAGTAATTGTGTTATGTGTTTTGTCATTTTTAGTAGTTTTATTATATTTCTATGTAGCTTTAATTCTTACTTCAGTGTTAGTAATTTAGTACTTCAACTTAAACTTATTTCAGTTTATTTCCAATGCAAGATCAAGTTTTTCGTCTAATATTTATATTTTATTTTAGTAGCATTTGTTAATATTAGTTAACTACATTATCATTGAAAAATGCTTCTAAAGGTTTTACTAATTTTTAGTTTGTTCATTTCAACATTTACTAACTTCTACATAAAGATCAATATTTGTATCTGTTAATAGCTTATGAACTTAAGCTGACGTAAACAATGAACAGTTGCATTTATTCACTAATGTTAAAAAATATTAATAAATTCTCTGTCAAATGCATTGCTCCTTGTTCATTAATGTTAGTTAATGCATTAACCAGCATTAAGTAATTACTGTAAAGTGTTACTTTTATTTGAAAGTAGTTTTATTTCAATTACTGAAAATGATTTTTAATAGTTTTGGTTAACAATAACAACACTGATTGAAGTCTCTGATTGAAATCTCCGTTTTCTATATGTAGATCCAGTGAAATTTCTTGGGGCTCCTGGAAGAAGTGACCTTGAATCTCTTCCACCGTTCTCATCCTCTGTTTGCATCTAGTGACTTGGAAAGCATATCATCCACGAAATCAGAGATGCACCCTCCAAACCTTTTTGGACACACGAATCGACCCACCAAAACTGACACAGCAGATTTTGTCCGTGATCACTCTAGACCGCAATTACCAGCACAAATGTGAAGAACTCTTTCTCAAGTCATTTTGTATTTTTCTGCTTCCTTAAAACAATGGATCATAGGAATAGACATGTTCTGACCACAACTGACGTTTTTTTTTTTTTTCACTGCAGAAAGAGTTTTGAACGAGAGACGAGACGGATGTCAATTTAATCATGGATCTGTGCCTAATTGTTACGTTTTATAAAAGACGCAAACTGCTTACTTGTATGGAACAAAACAAGTTTGGGAGTTGGTTGTATATGAGGAATTTATTTATTTTTTTTTTCAAATGTGGTTTGTCATTCCTTACTGAAAGGTACAGTCTTACATGCGTTGTGTAACCAAACCCCATGAGAAGTGGGGTGAACCTGTGGTGCTTTTGAGGACGGCATATCCCAGCATGCCACTGCTCCGTGGGCCAGGGCTCTTCTGGAAAGGGAGAAAAGCACACGGGCCATCGCAGCTCTCCAGACTGTTTCATTTGTTTGGAAACATCACATATCGTCAGCTCTCACGATGCCATTGACTAGCCAATCGGAAGAACCCGCATCATAAAGGAGCGTGAGCTTCTGTTACTATGACAACAATTGCTTGGATTCCATTGCGTTCCCAGGCACGAAATTGCCAAGTTGATCTTTCACTTCTTTATTTTTATTTTTCGCCAGAACATGTTCATCACTCGCTCGCATCGATTCATTGTTGCCAAAAGTCTGAAAGCGTACACATGTCCACCTCACACATATGTAATGGATATTATTTCAATTTGAAAAAAAAAAAAAAAGTAAGAATATATATAAATATATATTTTTGTTAGTCTATACATTGTAGATTTCTAAATAACAAAAACATATTAGTTTGAAGTGTAGAGTCTATAGCGCAAGTGAACGCTCAGAGATGCGTTGTAC